CTCTATCTTACCACAAACAGGAGTATGATTTTACATCAATTTATATAGGACTAACCGACCTATTTGATTAAAAGCGAATCATGCGATATCGCATAGCATATGTATAAAAACATACAATAGAATTGAGAACATCCTCTTTGTCATAGAAGTATTAGGCTTAGAACCGCAGTAGGCGCACGCAAAGTGAAGCCATTTCAAGTTAGCCTTTAAAGGCTAAGTTTGACTTTTGGCGCGTTAGTACTCGAGTCCACGTAGCCGTGTAAACAGCTCGCACAATTTTTTAAAAAAATGACGTAGGTACTGTACTGTGAAAGGGTAGTCATCACATAATCATGAAAAAAATGTAAAAATCTCATTTCACGGTTAAGTACTAGCCTAGCATCTTATATATTTTGTAGAAAACATTCATCAAAACTAAACAATAAATAATAAATTTGACAGACGCCAATATAATAGAAATGTTGCTAGGCATAGTAAAATATTTTACCCCATTTTTTCTTATTATTATGATTATAAAAAATACATATTGAAAAAAATACGTACATACTGCCAATAGTCTCATTCACATATAAATAGGTATTTTTATTTGCCAAATATTATTAGGGTTCACATTTGCCACGAAGAAAAATATGTTGATTTTATTTTGTTTTCATACTGTGCAGTTATTTTTACCACTTTATAGTATGTGTTTTAGGATAAATAAGATAGCCTATGATAATTTTTTTTATTGTAATTTACATATATTTAACATTTTTAGTTCGATTCTTTTATGAATCTAAAAAAGGTAACATTTCGAGGATCGCGTCATCAAAGCGGCAGTTGTTTAGAAAACAGTTGTAGTTTCAGGGTCATTAAGAGATATTTTTTTAAGTACTTGGGTATATTTTATTTCATTTTATTTTATATTTTTAATAAACATTTTTAATTTCATGTTTTATTTGAATAGTTATCTCCTTCCGAATCTTATTTTGTTTTAATGCAAACATAATATCCAATAAAGTAATAATAATAATCACTTAAAGTCGATCGCACTCTTAAGTCTCGTGATTCCTTCTAATATTATATCCATTCTGTGAAAGTTGTATATTGTAACCTTTACGTTGAAACCGATTTAAATTAAATACATCACGTAGATTCGTAGAATGGCAAGAATCGATATCAGTGTATGCTTTAATATGCGGTTGAAACCGCGGGCCACAGCCAAAGTTAGTAAGGAATAACTAATGAAAAAATATCTGAAAGCTAAAATTATTATCTGACAACTATTAACTTGTTAAGTATAAGTGGGTCTGGATTGGAAAAACTGGAAAAAATTAGAGACGTAGGCATTTGCCTCCTCCATTTCTTCCGCTTCTCTATATATTATAGAATAAGGCCATTAAGTATTATATAAAACCTTTTTACTGGAAAAGTGGCATTCCAATTTAGTCCTCACGGGCGACAACGATCTGCATTTTGATTCGCAAAGGAGGATAGATGTAGATGTCTATGGGCCACAGCAACCTCTTACCATCAGGTGGACTGTGTGCTATATATACCACTTTTGACAGAATAATATAATTATATAATAAATTTGTGAATATAACACAAGATATTACGTATATAAATAATTTAAATATTACACAAGTTAACACAATAAATAATTTCTTTTTTCTCTTTGCAAATAGTTAATAAATAATTATAAACGTAACCTAAATATTAATTCTATGACGATGTCTACTATTACAATTTCCCCACTTTTCGGGGAAAATGTCATTAACTTGCAAACATTACTCGTTTGCTTGTGTGCGTGTGGGCAAACGTAATTACAGACCGCTTATGCACACATTCATTGTGTTGTTGCTTCAACTTTGAACGGAATTTTGAATGTCACTATCACTCTATGTGTAATCTCTAAGCTCTTTGTTTAAGTCGGCTAATAGAAACATTTAGTTAGTTCCAATAGCGAATGTAAAGTACGGCCAACTAGCAGCGATACCAAAGGTCATTTACATTAACAACTACTGTGGAAATGACAATCTATTATCTATCTCTTCTCTATTATCATCTATTATATTCCATATATCTTAATCTATTATCATCTATTATATTCCATCTTGTGTATTTGTAGTAATGTCTCGTTTTCTCGGCAAAAACAAGTCAGGGTCAAGACGGGTTCGGTAACATTAGAGAGGCCATTTTAGTAATAATAGTGATTCATTCCGTTTCGGAACGCGCTAGTGGTGATACAAGTTATTTGTTAAAATTTTTGTTATTTTTTCTTGTTTATTTAATTATTATTATTTTGTTTTGTTGATAATTGTTTTTTTATTAACCAATCATGGAGCCACAACCAAGTACGTCGAGAAATATATCAACAGATTTTACTTGTTCGAAAAAGAAACGTCCAAAGGTATGTATAGGAATAGGATATATATGAATGTTGTGTAGTAGTTTTAATTAAAACTTCTTGGTTCGGAGTGTACTTTAAAGTTATCTTAAAGTTATTTAAAAAACAGCAACTGTAATAATAAAACTTTTCTTAAATTATTAAAGATTCATGTAAGTAAAGTATGTATATCATTTTAATTTAATTTTTAATATTAGGTGACTAGTTTTACTGTGAATGAAAAAATTATGGTTATTAATACCTACAAATAGATTAAATAAACTTGGCCTAGTGATAAATACCCATACAGAAAAGAGATAGCGCAGAAAGCAGCTAGTATTTCAGGTATTGGCGTTGCATCTGTATATAGAATCCTCAAAGACTATAAAGAACACGGCGAAATTTCTTCTCCTGTCACCACCAAACCTAGACCAACGTTTAGTGACAAAATTGATGATTTTACTAAATCAGTCATATGCAAAAAAGTACATGCTTTCTTTATTAAAGACGAACTTCCTACAGTGAAAAAAGTACTTTCAGATATTAATGAAGACGGTACTCTACCAAATTTCAAAAGGACTACTATCCAAAAAATAAAGCTTAAGTATATAAAGAGGCAAAGAAATAATGCACCGATAGATAGAGATGATATTGTATTGTGGTGACGAAAATACTTACATAAAATTAAGAAGTACAGAGAGGAGAATCGGCGTATTTTTTATATGGATGAAACATCGGTGAACGCAGGTCAGTCATTTTATTTTTTAGTTACACTTGTGCGCATAGAGTTTCTATCTTCAGTAGAAATCCTTCGGCGCATAATCAAAACCAAGTATTTCTGTCTGAAAGATTGTGTAAGATTATTATTTGTAGTATTCCCTATATTTTATTGTATCCTGTATGTTATTTTCAGGTCACACTGTTAATAAAACTTGAGTTGATACCGAAATAAAATCAAAACAGCAAGCGTTTTTAGTAGGTCTGAGTACAGGTGCGAAGAATCCTACCTCAAAGGGCCGGCGACTAATCGTAGTCCACTTTGGAAATGAGGATAGTTTTGTGGAAGACGGTAGCTGGGTGTTTGAATCCAAAGGCACTAGTGATTATCACGAATCAAATTGAACACATTTTGAAAGCTGGTTTGAGAAGATATTGCCCAAATTAGGCGAGAATGCAGTTGTCATCATGGATAACGCGCCTTACCACTCAAGGTGACAGGAAAAAACACCCAGCTCAACATGGTTGAAGGCTAACACGAAGGCTACGTGACAAAAATATTATTTTCGATGAAAAGGAAATAAAAATACAATTATTAAATAAAGTAAAGATGGTGAAGGACCAATATCAATTATAAGTCGTAGACGAATTAGCAAAGAAATACGGCGTCGAGGTACTAAGACTTCCCCCTTATCATTGTGAATTAAGCCCCATTGATTTGGGCTGATGTAAAGGGGCACGTATCTAGAAACAATACTACGAAAAAGTCACGCCTGATCGGTGGAAGAAATGTGTGGAGCATGTTAAAAAGAAGAAGATAAGTTTATCAAACTTGATTTTATTGTAGATGACGTGACGGATAAATTTATTATACATGTTAAGGACTCTGATTCTGACTCGACAGACTAAGAAGAATCGGCGTCTGAGTAAATAAACAATGATTTCCTCAAAAAAAAAAAAATGTTTATCCTCATTTCCATGAACATAACAACATATCATCAGTCCTGTATCCCCTAAGGGGTAGGCAGAGATATTAACACCCACATTTTGCCTGATATATTTAAGTCCCTATGTAGGGGACAAGCCTGTTACCATACACCGGGCACACAGTTGTTAGGAAAGCGATATTCAGAAACATTATTATTGTTCTCGTTATTTAATTTAAATCTACATTATACAATAATTCAAATTATAACAAAATTTATAAAACGTCTATTTTTTTGGTTTGCTAGACATTTTTTAAAACTATATTGTCTATTTAAATATATAATCTAACTATCAAAAAGTTACGTACCCCTGCTATTTATATAGCCATACATTTGGTATCGCTTCTCGTTGGCCGTACTTAAGTCGATTAAAATCCTTGAGGGTGGCTATTTTCAGCAATGGATTTACAAAGGATTGTAATAACACATTGTAACGATGATAATATTTCAAATCAATTTTTTATTTTTTTCATGAAATAGTTTTGGTGATTTGAGCCTTAGTTAAAATATAAAGTAATTTTAAATATACATTTTAAGGAATACAGTATTCGTACTCTTAATACATAAAAATAAGTAATTATATATTATCATATTTAAAAACCTAAAACGCAGGTAAAAAAGAATTAAATGGGAATTTTATTTCTTTACCCAAATATTTTAGGGAAAATTAAAAAATATGGTATCTGTAATAATTTTAATTCATTGGTAAATTGTGCTCTTATCATTTATAATCTTCAAAATGTTTAATATTATATCTTATGAAAAATAACATATTATGTATAAAAGTATAAATATGTAACATTTTTATTTTGTATCTGGAAAATTCTCTATTCTTTGTGTCATAGAAACAGGTATTGATTTTCTAAAAGATGCGTGAGCAGTACGTACACACGTACATGAAATAACATGTAATAATAGTCTGGGCCAAAATGTTACGAATACCAATCTCATTGAGTTGTTACATTCTCTTAGGATACTATGAGACTTGTAAATGTGAATCAGACGCTGTTCCATTTACGTTTATAGAATATCAATACAAAGATTCTCCCAAAAACGTAAGTAGAAAAATTTTTCATTGTATTTTTGAATTCGTTTTACATTTTACTTAAACATCAAAAACAATTTTTACAGGAAATGACATTCAGGGAATTTGAAAGTGCTTGTGAACAAAGTAGCGCTTGTAGCCATATGAACGGCTTACCTCGGACTCGTTGTATAAGAGAATGCGTGTCTCCATCATGTTATAGAGAACTCTACTTAAGTGACCCTGTCCGTGATTTGTGACCAATAATATTTCTTTTTGAAAAAAAAAACTTATCAAAAATTATTATAATGTATATTTTTATGGTATTTCAACTGTTACAGCTTGAAGAAGGAGAAATTGACGTAAGACTAAATTCCTTTAAGGGTTGTTTTATTCAAAGAAGTGGAAGAACAAGAAATTGATTTTGTTCAAGAATTATATCATCTTTTATTGTATGTATCAATAAGATACAGAAAATCAAAAGGAAATTACAATTTTTTACTATAGTAAGTGTAAAAGAATTATCGAATTCTATTATATATCAAAGAAATAATCTTTAATTTTAACGCTTTATTTCAGCTGCTGACAACAATAATATTAAACAAGAAATTATTGTTACAATTTACTTCTAATATATCAAAAAGATATATGAAATTTTATCCCATATTTTAGTTCGTAGCAATAAATTCAATAAAACCTTCTTGTAACTCATTCATTCATTCATTTACCAATTACATATTAAGTATTTAAAATACACACAATACTGACCAACGAACTGTAAGTCTTGTGTAGGGCAACACTGCTGCTATACAATGTTATATCCGAGTTTTGGCGGGAAATTGACCGGCGGCGGTTTGCTGCTCCTGTATTATTGTTTAAATAATGGTTTGAAGTGGACTTTGATATGTAAAAGTGTTGCGATTTTGTGTATTAAGTGTCTACGCATGTGAACTATTAGTGGAAACAGTGAAACAAGTGCTCTGATGGTGATGGATTCTCAAGATAAGCTGTTTGTTTGCATAGGCACCTTTAGATACCATCGCCAACTATCAGCTGTCTGCTGGATCAAGTTGCCGCCAAAATCTCCCAAGAACTGCACAATGTGACGCATCAACATATTGTGAAGCAGTATACTATGAAGGAGTGGGGAAATTACAATAAACCGAATAAAAATACTTAAGACTTGGCCTAAAGGTCTAGATACCAGGCCATAAACTCCAAAAAAAAAATGTTATATCCTCTCAAAGCCATGTTTTTTTTTTAATTTAATAAAGCCAATAAACATGCCATATCAAGTGCATCTAGCCAAATTGAGATCAGTGATAACTGCCTCTGTAAACTTGGGTCCAACAACCTCTAACCATATCTTTTTAACTGTCCCAAATCGGCTTGTTCAATTTATGATCATTTCCCTCCTGACACTCTCATCTATAAATTTCGACTCACTTTTAAGCGCTCATCGTATATTTCAAAGCACGCGTATACGAGCAAACCGAGTTTGGTTGTAGCCGGCATCAACTAAATTATAACATATTTATTAAAACTACCTAATTGCTCTATAACTATAACCCTTTCAATCATGAGAGGAAGCCTGTGCCAAGCAGTGGAACATATTTACAGACAAACATCATTTTTGTTTTACTAAACGTTAAAAAAATATATTATACACATCTATCGAAATTTATTAAAAGTGCATGGACGTGATGCACAATTAATAAATCGGGAGTATTAAATGGGAACAGAAAAGTTCTTGTACAGGAAAACAAAGTAAAAAAAAAATTAAGTGTAAATGTAAGAAAAGTGCTCTCAGGTTGATCCGCCACGGTTATTTGAACGATGTTATCCGAAGAGCTCTTATTGTCTCTATAAATATTATCTCACTTTTGAGCCTTGTGGAATAAATATTTAGATACGATGGCAGCAGATCCGACAGTACGACTTTGGTCCCTTGGGAAAAATTAAAGCCTTAATGCGGGATGCTACTTGCGTAGATACTTTGGCAGCCTATCATCTCAGGGTTACCTCGTTTAGAACCGGGGTGGCATCTGAGGCTACTGAACTAAGTAAGTGGCGCTAAATAAGTCTCCAAGAGAAGTCTACGTATTTGTCGTTTATTGTAGAGACTATTGGTCCGTGGGGTCCACATGCGGTGTAGTTCCTACAGGAACCTTCAAAAGCTAAGTATGCCATTCAGCGAGAAAAGGCAGCCAGCGTTCTTGGCACCGCTGAGAGTAGGGCTGTATGATAATTTAAGTTTTTAGTATTAGTTTTTTTATTGTAGTCTTTTAATCTTAACATTTAATAAATCTATAGAAAAGTCGTGTCTGTAATTCTGATATTTCCTAGAAAAAACAAGTCCAAGGGATTAAATAAAGGATAATGAGGCCAAATTAGTAGTTTTTAGAATTTTTGTTAAAGTCAACTCTGGCAATTTACCGACGGTAGTTAACTTTGCCACCAGAGATGAAAGGGTAAAGGGTTTTTCAATAGGGATGCTAGAACTTTGACAGCGTATAGCTGTTATCTTGGTTAAGCGATAGCTATCAAAATTGACAAGAATACTTATTTAGTCTTGACCACAAACTAGTCTTAACATTTCATCATGGAACACTACACGCTTCAACAACGCGTTTAAATTGTTAATATTTATTATCAAAATCAGTGCTCTGTTCGTCTAACGTTCCGTGCGTTGCGTCCAATTTATGGCATTCATGACCGTCCTGCAGAGTCCACAATACGTCATTTAATGAATAAATTTGTGACAACCGAGTCGATGATCGATGAAGTAGTCTGTTATCAAACAAACGCAAGATTATTGGAGAATATTGTTGCCGTTCGGGGCATGTTCGAGAAAACGTTTCTGACGTGGTAGAGCCATGCTGCAGCTATAATATGGTTGTAGCACGAATGGGTCGGCTCGATCGGGGAAGGACCACGCTCTCACAGAATACCAGCGTAAAATAGCAGCTTAACGCTGCTGTGTTTCGTATGGTGAGTGTAGAGAACCGGAGACCCTTTTTACTGGAAACGAGGCATTCCATCTTAGTCCTCACGGGTGACAACGCATCTGCATTTTGATTCATAATCGAAGATAGATGTAGATGTCTATGGGCCACAGCAACCACTTACCATCAGGTGGACTGTGTACCCGTTTGTTACCCTTATCCTATAAAAAAAACAGACAGTACATTCCGCCTCGTGCGCAAGAGCTGGGTCTTTTTGCGACATCAACTTTGAGGCTTTGGCGTCAAATCTTGGGTTCTCATCCATACAAAGTTCAATTAACTCAAGAGCTAAAACCAAGTAGATTGTAAAATATAGGGAGTGCTCACTTAATTTTTTTTATAGGAGAGGGCCACCTCGCGGTCATGCTCGTTTGCTAAAACGAGCATGCGGCTCACCTGATGGTAAGTGACTACCACCGCCCATGAACAACCGCAACACCAGGGGAATTGCAGATGCGTTGCCGGCCTTTTAAAAAGGAGTAGGCTCTTTTCTTGAAGGTCTCTAAATTGTATCGGTCCGGAAAAATCGCTGGTGGTAAACTATTCTACAAGAAAGTTGCACGAGGAAGAAAACATTTTCTTAATCGCACAGTGATGGACCGCCAATCATCCAGATGGTGTGGATGGTATCGGGAGTTCTGCCGCGATGTGCGTTCGTGAAATTTAGCGGCTGGGATTAATTCGAAAAATTCCTCAGAGCACTCCCCGTGGTAAATGCGAAATAAAATGCAAAGAGATGCAACATCTCTTCGCAGCGCCAATGAGTCGAGCCGATCGGAAAGGACTTGGTCGTCGACGATTCGAGCCGCTCTGCATTGGATGCGGTCAAGTGGAACGAGCTGGCACTGGGGAGCCCCAGCCCAGAGATGTAACCACAGTATTCCATGTGAGGCCGAACCTGCGCCTTGTAAAGTTGCAGGCGTTGTGCTGGCATGAAATACTGTCCCGCTCTGCAGAGCACGCCAAGCTTTTTAGAGGCCAATTTGGCCTTCTCTTCCAAATGACCACGAAACTGCACGTCACGCGATATGTCGACGAGGATTCCGATACTGGCTGAGGCAACAAGGGGAGTACCTTGAAACTGAGGAGATACGACAAAGGGGTTCTTTTTAGCGGTAAACGCGCAAACTTGTGTCTTCTGAGGATTAAACTGGACCAGATTTAGTCGCCCCCAATCCGAGACTTTGTCCAGCAAAGACTCGACTTCAGACACAATTTTGTTCCGGTACACGGTGACGTTTTCCCGAGAAATATTGGTACGGCCGGTGTATATATATATAGAGCATCACCAGTGCTGTTATCCGCATAGCAATGAATGCTACCGGCTTGCAACTTATCATTGACATGCAGAAAACAGCGTTGGTGATAGCACGCAGCCTTATGGAACACCAGCGTTAATAGGCTGCTAGTCGGAGCATGCACCGTCTACAATGAACTTGATGCTCCGATCTGCAAGAAAGTTGGTGATCCAATTGCATAATTTTTCGGGAAGCCCATAGGAAGGGAGCTTCGAAAGAAGCGCTTTGTGCCAAACCCAAAACCGATCGAAGGCCTTCGCAATGTCCAAACTAACGGCCAATGCCTCCCCCTTGGACTCTACTGCCTCCGCCTATCTATGAGTTAAGTAGATCAGAAGATCACCAGCTGATCAACCCCGACGAAAACCGTATTGGCGGTCACTAATCAGCTGGTGATCCTCAAGATACCGCATGAGGTGGCAGTTTATAACGGATTCCATTATTTTGGAGAACTAGGGGGTGATGGCGATAGGCCTGTAGTTGGACGGGTCTGAGCGGTCGCCATTTTTAGGGATCGGGTGGACAAAAGCTGTCTTCCATGATTTCGGGACTACGCCTAGGGAGTAGGAGTACCGGAAAAGACGCGTTAGAACCGGTGCCAACTCCGGAGCACACGTCCTCAGCACAATTGGTGGGATTCCGTCAGGCCTACTCGACTTGTGGATGTCCAGAGAGAGGAGTGCTCTGTGAACCAAGCGCTGTGAGAACCGCACATCCGGCATGGAGCACTCACACCTCGGGATGGTCGGCGGTGTGTTCCCCCCGTCATCAACAGTCGAGTTGGACGCAAAAAGGGAGCCTAAAAGGTCGGCTTTCTCTTTTGCGTCGTGGGCCAGTGAGTCGTCCTCCCTGTGCAGAGATAGTAGTGATGGCTGACAGAAAATCCCTTGGACAGCCTTGGCGAGAGACTAGAATGCACGGGTTCCCGAAGGAACTAGTTTCTCGCCAATTCTGCCTATGTGCTCTGACTTTGCCTTGACAATAACTCTTTTGAGGGACCTGGAGGCGAAATTATACTTCTTTTTAAGTATGCTGGTGTTTACATCCCGAGTCGCCGAAGCCGCAGCCCAGGCTTGATAACACTCCTGCTTACTGCGTAATTCAGTCTTACAGGAGCGA